TTTCTTTTTCCTCCAACAACTGTTGTAATCTCTCTTCTTGTTTATTTTCTTTTTCCTCCAACAACTGTTGTAATCTCTCTTCTTGTTTATTTTGCTGTTCCAGCTGCCATTGTTGTAGTTTTTCTTGCCACTTCTGTAATCTTTCTTCTTGTTTCTTTCCTTTTTCCTCCAACAACTGTTGTAATCTCTCCTCTTCTTGTTTCTTTTCTCGTTCTTCTTGTTTCTTTTGATGCTCTTGTATTGCTGCCACCAAGTCTGCTATGCTGTAGTTTGATTTGCCGCTTCTCATTTCCATTTTTATTTCTCTGTCCCACTCTCTGACACCACTCTTTGTTACGTCTCCGTTCGTAAGTTAATTTTCCGTAAATTCGTTCCGACGAAACTTTAGCGACACAAGTCCTTTCTTAAATAAAACTGGTTATTCTTTCCGAATACAACTTTACGATACACTTAATTTCAACAGTCGCTCTGTAACAAACGCTATATATCTCAACGAACTTCTCACGTGCTTAATAATATTCTCTCTGACTGCAGTTCAATTACTCATTACCTACACATTGTTCCGTCACGTTGTGACAATCTTGTATATACCAGACTACCCCAATCTAGTAATCTCCCGACAATTCACGAAGGTTCGAGAAAGAAGTGGCGTGATACTAGTCACGTGACCTCGCTGACGCAACAATATATTAGGTCGTAAAGAAATTAATGTCGCGTTTTGGAACATTTTTATTACCCCCCCCCCCAAAAAAAAAACAACGTACATCACGTATAATAGTTAAACGAAGCGCCTAAACGTTACGTTAGTGTAGCCTATATAATGTGTAAAGTTTAATATACTCTAATCCCTTATAGTGATGGCACATAACGAGACACACGTTCGGCATGTAATACAGTTTGAATACCAAAAAAGAGAAACAACGTTTCTGTAGCCACAAAGAATAACAAATAAGTCTATGGAAATGTTATGAACGTTTGTGAGTGTCAACGATGGTTCAGCAAATTTCGTTCAGGTGACTTTAACCTTAAAAACTGTGATGGCAGGGGCCGAGATGTTGTAATTGATATTGATGCTCTGAAGACGCTTGTGGAGTCTAACCCAAGGCACCCCTGAAATTCCATGCCTCTCAATACGTAAAGATTTAATAATTATGGGAAAACTCCATAAAGAAGGTGTTTGGGTACCTCACGAACTCTCCAATGATCATAATTTCCAACGTGTGAACGTTGCTTCGTCTCTTCTGGCACGTGAACCATTTTTGGACAGAATTGTCACCAGTAATGAAAAATGGATTCTCTACGCGAATATTAAACGCCAAAAACAAAGGTACAGTCCTAGAC